AACTTCAATATATTAGATTCTTTCTAGTGAATTGAGTGGCATAGATCTTACATTTATGCAACTCATCAGTAGTATAAATGTAAAGATAACATCATTTGAGTGATTTTTTTTTTGTGTTTTCTCTTAATTTAAAATAATTTAAAAATGCCAATAATTAAATGAAAAATATGTTTACCCATAACAATTAAGTGTCAAAATTTGACATATACTATACTTAATAATAGTGGCAAATTTGGCACCCAAAATAGTCTTGTATTGGAATGGAGAATTACTTTTTTTTTTATTATTATTTTCAATGTTAAAATTTAACATTAACACACTAATTTAACATTTTATGGGAGATGTTCTAAATTCCCATCGAGTCGCTTATTCTCCTGTCTCAAATGTCTTTCACATTGAATGCACTAAATAAACAAGTTGTTAAGAGTAAACAAATTAGATACAACTGTGATAGAAAAATATTTCTCATACATATCTTCAAAATGGCGATAATCACAAACACAAAAATATGGATCAGGCCGGTGAGATTCACTCAATTAGTGTGGTAACATTCATCATAGCAAAAGAGAGGGGGATTAGTGCACTTTAGGATATATAGAGCTTGTTCGGTTGTATTTTTGAGTTATGGTGATTTGAGTATGGATCTTGAATTGAATTTGAGTTGAAGTTTTAATTTGAGTTTGTGTTTGGATGTGCACATTTGAGTCATGATTTGAATCGAGAATCTATTTGAGTTTGCGTTTGAATTGGTCAAAACTTAAATTTGTATTTAGATTCCATTGATGAAAAAATTTAATAGGGTATATGGGTAGAGTTTTATTCGTCTCTTTGTTGTGAATGCATAGAAAAAAAAAATCATCTCAATCGGAATTAAAACAAAAAAATTATGACGTTTTTAATAATAGAAAAAATATTGTTCAGTAACTTGAATTTGAGTTTAAGAACTTGAGTTGAAGGGAAAACTTAAACTCAGATTTTTACATTAAATTCAAGTTAAAATTCAAATTCAAACTCAAATTTTACAAACGAACATGAATTTAAATAAAATTGTAACTTGAGTTCAAATTTTTTTTGAGTTTTACGAACAAGCCCATAATTTTTTAAACTTCGAATGGTTGTTTTCTTCGTTTAATATTGGTTGGAAAAGGAGGGGAAAAAAATATGCACGTGAAAAGCTTGTCTTGATAACTTTGTAGGAAATACAAATGAAGTTGATCCCACAAGGGTGTTCTTCCACAAATTAAGCTTCAGTTTAGTTTGCTGATTCGAGTTTTTAATTCGAGTTGAGATGTGATTTTATGTGAGAGCTTTTTACTGTAGTAAAAAAGTTATATGTGATTATTTGTGAGATCTTCTTACTGTAGTAAAACTCGAATTCTAAATTCAAATCAGCGAAATGAACGGGGCCAAGTTAAATATCAGCTTCAAAAAAATCAAATATCAAATCAAAGTGAATGGCCAAGACCGGAGAAGAATGCGGACTCCTTTGTGGACCATATTTGCTAACTACTCTTGAGACAGCTAGCAAAAAGCATGCCCCTCTTAGAGTGTGATTGAGGTTTTGCATATTCTAAGTTTTATATAGGCTTTTTTCTACGATTTTATATTCAACAAACCGGTTCAACACAAGTCATTTTACGTACGTGTAACATGTAACGGTTGAGGTGTAATATGATATATATTTTATGCAAAAATGATTTTAGAAAGAAATACAAGAATAAATTCAATATTTTGAATATTGTTGTTAATTTTTTTTAAAAAAAAATTATCTATATATAATCGTGTGATATGGAGGATTGTAAAAGACTTATGTACATATATGTTTACTAATTAGATGCTCTAATTATATACAACTAAGAATAATAAAATTGCATAAAAAATTAAATAAATAAGAACACACAAGATTTTTAGCAATTCACTCTGAATATGAGCTAGACTCATTTTTAATCACTACTGTAGAAATTCATTAATATGCGAAAGAAGTTTACAAGAAAAAATATCTTTCACATTTCAACTCTCAGGTGACGTTTGGTTCATGAATTAAAATCATGAGATTATAACCATTTTCGATTTACATGTATTTTTTATGAGAGAAAACACTGTAGCGAATCATGAACCATGATTCGAATCAGGATACGAATCCCCTTACCAAACGTCACAAATGTTTTTCTACATCTCTCTAGATAACCCTAAAATCAACGCTCCCTTTATATAAGAGAATCCGATGCAATCAAAATCACAAAGGTGGATTCACTTGTTGTCTCTGTATAAACCAATAATTGTGAAGATAATAATTAATTCCACAACTTAATATAAAATATGTTATGTTTGGTGGGCTAAATTTTATAGTCCATGCTTTCCAACACAACAAAATTTTACTTCCAACTTAATTCACAACGTGGCCCGCCTCACGTAGCAACTAGCACGACTTAGGAGTGTTTTTAACATTTTCATGAGAAGTAATTTTCTGTATTGTTCGGGTTTTTACTTCTGAAACTACCCCAAGAAAGTTTGTTTTATCACACTTTTTCCTTTTCTTTTCTTTTCTACATTAAAGAAAACTTTTATAGTTGTATGGTCCAAACGAGGCCAAAAGGTTTATTCTTCAATGTAATGTTGATGAAGAGTTGTTGTTAGTTACGTGGATGTGCTACAAGCCACTCCCATATGTAACGAAAGCTAATCATTATTATTCTTTTTTTTTCTATTTATGGTGTTTGCCTTTTGAGCATCACAAATTCACAATCATTTACTTCTTTTTTTTTCAGAAAAAAATAAAATAAAAAGATATATATATATATATATATAATGATACAGACATTGCATGGAAAGACCTTTAACTATGTGAACTCGATTTTGATTTATAAAATCGAAATGTGGACCTAATGAGAAAGATTATAATTCATAGACAAGTGGCAACTTGTTTTTACATTAATAATTTGAAACTTGACTCCATGACTTGATATTTACAAAATACTGTTTATTATAATGAGATTCATATGTTGGATAGGATATTTCTAGAAATAATATTCTAATTCGTTACTGAAAAATACAATGTCGAGGCTGTTATACATCAACATCGAGACCGGACTAAAATTTTAAGGACTAACCAGATAATTGTAATGATTAAATATTGAATATTGCCCCCATAAAAGACTTGTTGAATATTTAAAACTAAAAAGTGGAAAATGAGTACTAGATATTTCGTAATTAAGGTCTCGTTTATTTTACTGATTCGAGTTTTTAATTTTAAGTTCTTACAGTAAAAAACTCTCAGAAAATATCACATCTAATTTTTTCTGCTACAGTAAAAAGCTCTAAAAAAATATCACATCTCAGCTCAAATTAAAAATTCGAATCCGTAAAGTGAACGAGACATAAGAATACATCACAAGGTTCACATTACAATTTTTTATTATATTTGATTTGAAATGGAGTAAGCCATATTATTTGGTGAACATATTTGGCTGCAATATACTCCATTCAATACACACATATATATATATATATATATGAACTGAGTTAATTGTATGTGGTTATGGTGAGCTAAGGCAGGCTCATGTCAAAAAAAATAGCCATCCAATAAAGCTCAAAAAGCATTAATTAACACCTGCCATAAAAGTTGAGCATCTTTTTCAGAATTTGGAATCAAATGAGACACGAACAAAATAACCGTGATTCCTCAAGAACTAGTGCAAACTCATCCCTCAAGAATTAAGAAATGTTTAGTTGTAGGATTTAAACCATAATTTAAATTATAGTTCATAATTTGTTATAATATTTTTTTCATAAAAAATATATGTAAATAAAAAATAATTCTAATCACATAATTTTAATTTATGAACTAAACGTCTTTTAAGACCACAACTAAAAAAAATTAATGTAGAGAATCAACAACAAAAAAGTAGAGAATAAGAACAAAACTAAAAAAAATAATGTAGTTGGGTAAATCCACGGATCAAATAAAAAAAGTTCCTTCATTCAGTTTGCTGGGAATATGGCACTCGTCCTTATAGGTTTTTTTTTTTTTTTTTTTTTTTTTTTTTTTTTTTTTTTTTTTTGGGGCTGGAAAACTCGTCTTTATAGATTAACCTTTAAGATAGAATCCCAAGAACCCAACAAATAGTATCATAACCAGATTTTAGAATTAATCATGTCTATATACAAGATGAACGAAAAAAAAAAAGGAACAAAAGTAGTAGAACTGACTATCCTGCATAATTTTTTAATTTAATATAATTTTAATCAGATTTAATGGCTAAAATTTAACTCTGACGGTAAGAATACCTACTGAAAAAAAGTTTGAAAAAGAAAAAATTAATCTCACTGATTTGCCTTAAATTTAGAGTCATTCTCACTTTGTTACTTTACCTTTAAAAACTTTAACTTTTGCCCTTTAGATTATACTTTTGTCCTATTTAAACTCTTTTATAAGAATTTTTTGTTAAAATGAGACGGAAAAAGAAGAGATTAAATGTGAGTATGTGATTTTTATATATTTGTTTTTAAGATAAATTCAAATATAAAGATCACTTTACTGCATTACTCTTTTTTTCTATTTTTTCTTTAATATAAATTACAACAGAAGGATTAATAGTGCGTTTGGTTCGTGGATTCGTGTCATAGTTTGGATTATGATTCGTGACTCGCTACAGTATTTTTTTTCACAAAAAATATAAGTAAATCAAGAATAATTTTAAATTATGATTCTGAATTCATAAACTAAACGTACATACAGTATTCAAAGGTCAATGAGTAAAATGAAATATTTTAACGTTTAAGGAGTAAACTAGAAATGACAAAAGTTCACGGGGCAACAATGATATACTCAAAATTTCAAAATGCCTATTTTCTCCTCCAATGCACCCTCCACACAATTTTGCCACGTTGCAATACTACGCTACGCGTTTTAGCACGACAGAAGTGCCCCAAATCAAACTGAACATCAAAGATTCAAAACCATCCCAAATGTGGGCCCACATTCTTTCTTTTTTTCTTTCTTGTCAGTTCCCACTTTAGTTTTACCCCCCACAAAATTCTATTCCTTTTTTCACAACAACAAAAAAGCACCAAACCATTTCCCAACTTCCCAGACCCAACAAATATTTTCCCGGAAAATGTGAGAAACAACAAACATTACTTCCAACCAAGACAGAAAACCCAGTGCCCAGAGATTCTCGCTCCCTCACTTTCCCACTCTCCAAACACTAGAATCAACCTTAGCTTACCTCCTTAAACCGTAAATTCCCTTACTTTTCTTGTCGTTTCGTCTTCCGATTGGTGACGATGACGGTTCGGACTCGCCGGAACACCACCGTCGCCGTCGTCTTCGGGGTCTGACTTGGCGATCGGAAGGAAGGAAGGAGAATGGGGGCGTCGCTCTCGGGCCTGTCGGAGGGAGCGAACGGCGGCTCTGCCGCCGGCGGAGGTCCCGGCCTCGGGGACATACCGGAGAGCTGCGTGGCGTGCGTGTTCCTGTACTTGACTCCGCCGGAGATTTGCAATCTTGCACGGCTCAACCGTGCGTTCCGTGGCGCGGCGTCGTCGGACGCCGTCTGGGAGTCGAAGCTGCCGCCGAATTACCAAGATCTGCTCGATTTGGTCCCTCCCGAGAGGTACCAGAACTTGTCCAAAAAGGACATCTTCGCGCTTCTCTCTCGCCCCGTTCCCTTCGACGGTGGCAACAAGGTCAGTCGAATTTCCCATTCCCTTTCATCTCTTCGCGTTTGTCTGCGTTTTCTCTTTCTTTCGGTGAAATTTTGGGAATTAGGGTTTTCAGTTGGTTCCTCTTTTTTCCTTGTTTTGCAGGAAGTATGGCTGGACAGAATCACGGGAAGGGTTTGCATGTCGATATCGGCAAGGGGGATGGCAATAACTGGAATTGAAGATCGGAGATACTGGAATTGGATTCCCACTGAAGATTCAAGGTTCGATTTTGACTCAAGCTCTAGTCTTTTCAGGGTTTTTCAGCTTCAAATTATATTTCTAGTGAACCAAGATTGGATTTTTATTTTTAATTTTTTAAAATTTTTTTTTTTTTTGCGTTTTATGATTTGACATGGGATTTTTCGTTTTACTGTTTTCTTTATATTTGTGGGCGGTAGATATATAGAGGGAAACTGTTTTTTGTCTCCTCTCTCTTCTATTCCTCATGTTTTTGTGTGGTACTGAAAGCTTATTGACTATTGTGATTGCTATCGTTCTACAACTTAATCGGATATCAACAAGAGGTGTATTTGTTATTTTTAAAGCTCCGATAACTCAATGAATCCAGGGGAATTATTTTTTTTTTAAAGTAATTAGTTGACTGTGAAGGACTTGCATAATCTTTTTAGAAATACAAAATGGTTTCTTACTTTCTATATATTTTTATTGTTCGAGGGTAGGTGTATCTTGTGTTGTGTTTAGTATAGAATATAGATTCTTACAAGGTATGTATTTGCTTATATTCGTCAGTGGTCAAGTCCATGGTCAATGTTTTACTTTTCTCGGGTTGGCATAATTAAACATGCGGTTACTTTCCTTATATGGTCAACCAGGTGAAGTTAATGTTCACGACGGAGTTACTGTTCAAGTATACGGTACTGTTCACGGTGCGGATAAGTACCCCGTAAGTAGGTTCTGTATAGGAGCTGGAACTTGGTTCACCTGAGACCCTTCACGCATTTCTTAGGAACTTGCTTAGTAGGGTGGTTTTGTTTAGGAGACTGTCCAGATCTATCCTTTGTTGATAAAATTGGTGCATTCATTTACAATCTTTCGTGGAAATTACCTAATTGGTACAACTGCTGGAGTACTATTCACACGTATACAGTACTATTCACGTATACGGTACTGTTCATGGTGTAGATAAGTATGGCGTAAGTGGTTTTGTCTAGGAGGCTGGAACTTGGGGACGTTTGGTTCATAGATTCAGAATCATGATTCAGAATCATTCTCGTTTTACATGTATTTTTTGTGAGAGAAAATACTGTAGCGAACTACGAATCATAATTCAAATCATGACACGAATCCCCTTTCCAAACATTCCCGTGATCCGTCTGAGACCCTCCACGCTTTTCTTGAAAACTTGCTTAGTAGGGTGATTCTTTCTAGGAGACTGTCTAGATCTATCCTTTGTTGATAGAAGCTAGAACGGGTGTATTAATTTACAGTCTTTCCTAAGAATTACCTAATTGGTACAGTTACTGCTCGAGTATTGTTCACAAGTATAGTGAAACGGTGAGAGACAAGCAAATCACGAAATGGCTGAAAAATTCAAAATCGAGAAGTTCAACGAAAGCAATTTCACGTTGTGGAAAATGAAGATGCAGGAAATTTTATGGAAGGATAATTGTCTGGTGGCTATCGGAGAAAGAAAATCACGGACGATGACGAGCGGAACGAGATGGATGGTAATGCTATTGTCAATTTGCACCTGGCATTAGCAGAAAGGGGTTTTATCAAGTATCGCAGATATAAATTCTTGAAGACAAGAGTTAAGAAAAATAAGTTCTTCATTACTTAGAATAGAAAAAACACTTAGAATAACGAAAGAAATTATATTTGTTGAGAAATGTAAAATCGTATGGATACGACCCTCATTGTGCATCTTGATCCATTGGATCGTTTCATTGTAGACTCCGACGTGAAGCTTTTGTAAACGCCTTTCCGAGTATTCCTTTAGCATTTCGTCGAAGAGGGAGAGTTTTATCAAGTATCGCAGACAAGAAAACAACTAAAGAAATTTGGGATACTCTGACGAAGTTGTATGAGTCCAAGTCACTTCACACTAAGATTTTCTTGAAGAGAAAACTTTATACTCTTCGGATGGCGGAATCCACACTTGTAACCGACCATATCAAAACCTGCAGACTCTATATACCACTTGTTGGCAAATTTGGCGGTAAAATAAGAAATGAGTAAAAATGAAGATAATATAGACACATAGTATTTTACGTAGAAAATCTCCAAAGGAGACGGGATAAAAATCACGTGACAAGTGTAGACGGATGTCACTATGAAAAATAGGGATTACAACCTTCTCTCTAAATTACACGGAGAGAATAATAAGAACCACTCTCTCACGTAAATAAGTGAAATACCTTACAAAAGAAGAAAAGCTGGAGAAATTAAATTTCTCTTGCACTATGAGAATTCTCTCTGAAGGGTGGGAATGAGATGTTTAAGCCCTTCCTCTAAGTCCCCTTTATATAAGCTCCAAGAACGAACCATGGCCACGAAAAACTTGTGGCTAAGAATTTATCAATTTGTGGCTATTCATTTTACTTGGTCACCATTTAACCACTTGGTTAAATCTAGTTCACACAATTTTGTGGACTTAAATCATGGGCCTTGGTCTTTGCCAATTATGAGCCTTTGGACCTGAACCTAATCCAACATTTCTCCCACTTGGAGATTTGATTGAGAATCAATCATGTCTCCACACCATCCTTTCTACCATGTCACTGTCATGTTGCTTACGTTTCTGTTAGGTCACGTGAGAATCTACACCACTTGAACTTGTCAGTATTTACTGGCTTGGTCAACGCATCTGCTAGGTTTTCCTTGGTGTGAATCTTCTGCATATCCACGCTTCATTCTTCCACTACTTCACAAACAAAGTGAAATTGAACTCCTATGTTCTTCATCCTGGAATGAAAGGATGGATTCCTTGCAATGTGCAAGGCGCTTTGACTGTCACAAAATAAAAAAATCTTCTCCTCTTTGTGGCCGAGCTCCTCCAATAACCTTTTAATTCATATTGCTTCCTTGCAAGCTTACAGCTTCGAAACCCAGCTTACAGCTCCTCCTGCAAGTGTGAACAGATAGCCTGTACTGGATTTTCTTTTATTAGGATCACCTACAAAATCTGAATCCACATAGCCCCTGACAGTTACCTTCGATCCTCCAGAACATAATGTAGCGTATGAGGTACTCTTGATGTATCTTAGGATCCTCTTGACAAGATTCCAATGCTCTTTACCAGGATTCGCCATGTACCTACTAATTGCCCCCACTGTTTGTGCAATGTCTGGTCTTGTACAGATCATAAAGAACAATAGGCTACCCACTGCTAATGCATACAGTATGCGAGACATTTCCTTCCTCTCTGCTTTATTGCTAAGATACATCTTGGAGGATAACTTGAAATTAACAGGAAGAGGGGTAGAAATTGGCTTACAATTTTGCATATTGAAGCACTGCAAAACCTCCTTCAAGTAATTCTTTTGAGAAAGTCAAATCTTTATGTTCTTTCTGTCTCGGTAAATTTGCATCTTGAGAATCTTGTTTGCTGATCCCAAGTCCTTCATATCAAATTCCCTAGCTAATTGTGCCTTTAATCCTTGGACTCGATCTTTGTTGAGGTCTGCGACTAACATGTCGTCCACGGACAACAGTAAAATGATGAAATCTTCATCACCAAACCTCTTGAAATACGCACAAGGGTCTGAACTGAGTATGTTGTACCCAAGGCTCATAATATAGGAATCAAATCTCTTGTACTAACACCTCGGCGCCTGTTTGAAACAGTACAAAGATTTGTTCAACTTGCAAACTAAGTTCTCTTCACCTGCTTCTGCAAAGCCTTCTAATTGGAGTATATAAATCACTTCTTCAAGATCTCCATAAAGAAAAGCAATTTTTACATCTAGCTACTCTAGATGTATGTCAAACGTAGCACACATTGCCAAGACTATTCGAACTGTAGTCAGTCGGACCACAGGTAAAAATGTTTCGTTGAATTCAGTACTTTCTTTCTGAGCATATCCTTTCACCAACCTTGCACAGTATTGCTCCATTTGGTCATTGCTATCACGCTTGATCTTCTAAACTCATTTGTTGCCAATGGCATTCATTCCTCGTGGTAGCGTAACAAGATCCCACAACCTATTCTTGTGTAAGGCTTCAATTGATTCTTGCATTGCTGCCATCCACAAGGATACATCTGGGCTTTTGATTGTCTCCTGGAAAGTTGATGGCTCTCCATCCTTTGTTAAAAGACAGTATGCAACGTTGCTCTCAATGACATAATCTGAGTGCCAAATTGGTGGTCTTCGCTCACGAGTTGACCGGCGAATTTCGTAAGCCTCAAACGCAACTGGTTCTTAATCTTCGTGCTTTGGTGCTACTTTAGAAGAAACTAGATCTTTATCTGGGTTATCTTCCTCCTGAACCGCCGTAGTCTCTGACTTCTCCTTTGAAGTGTTATTGTCTCCCTTCTCTTGCAGTTTATCCTATGCAAATATGACATCTCTGCTGATGACAATCTTAATGGGCAGTGGGATCCCACAAGTGATACCCCTTAACACCATCAGCATACTCCAAGAAGATGCACTTTCTAGATTTCGGATCCATCTCTGCTGATGACAATCTTGGTCATTGTACATGACATTCACAGGACTTCCAAATGTATGTAACTGAGAATAATCAGCTAGCTTACCAATCTACATCTTTATTGGCGTTTTCAAATCAATCATAGTTGATGGAGACCGATTGATCAAGTAGCATGCGGTTTTGACTACTTCTGCCCAAAGCGACTTGGCTAGACTTGCACTCTTCAACATTGCTCTTGTTTTATCCAACAATGTTATGTTCATCCGCTTTGCCACTCTATTTTGCTGAGGAGTGTACGCCGCCGTGAACAACCTCATGATGCCTTCTTGTGGACAGAATGCATTACACACTCATCGCTTAATTATTCTCCACCATTGTCAATCCTGAGACACTTGATCTTCTTTTCAGATTTAAGTTCTACCCGCGCTTTGAGAACTTTGAAGACTTAAAAACATCTGCTTTCTTTTTTATTAGATACATCTAGCATCGCCTGGAGTAATTATCAATGAAATATACAAAGTATCTCGCCTCTTCGAGGGATTATACTGGTGCTTGCCAAACATCAGAGTGGATCAATTTTAAGATGTCTTTGTTCTTAGCTTTTGATGTGCTGAACCTTAACCTGTGTTGCTTACTTGTAACACTATGCTCACAAAACTGTAATTTTACCGAATTGAACCCAGGGAGTAGTTTCTGTTTAGAGAGAATCGTCAAACCTTGTTATGACATGACCGAGCTTCTGATGTCACATCATCGTTGATTATTCTCCCGAACTCGTCAATGCAACAAATGACTTTCCCTCTTGGTGTGTTTCTCTTAAAAGCATGACAGATTTGCAGCAACTTTTTCCGCCTTCACCATCACAAGCGCGCTTTTAACAATTTTCATGATCTCATTCTCAATGCAGGTCTTGCAACCAGCATCATCTAATTGTGTTAGAGACAATAGATTTTTTTTTTCAAGCCTTTCCATGCATATAAACTACTCTACATTCTTATCCTCTTTTCATGTGGGTTAACATACACAGACACTTTTCTCAACAATCTCCCCCTCATGTGTGTGCTCACCGAGCTCCTTCTCGAATTAAAGTTTCTCGTAGTTAGTACATCAAGCATCACACTCTAAATGGGAGCCAACTCAAGTGGGAGAAATGCTGGATTAAGCTTAGGCCCAAAAGCCCAAAATTGACAAAGCCCAAGGTCCATGATTCAAGTTCACAAAATTGTGTGAACTAGATTTAGCCAAGTGGCTAAATGGTGGCCAAGTAAAATGAATTGTCACAAATTGGTCAATTTTTGGCCACAAATTTTTCGTGGCCACGGTTCGTTTTTGGAGCATAAGGGGCTTGGAGGAAGGTGTTTCTCCTATTTACATAGTGTGAGAAATTTTGTTTATCCTATTTACATGAGAGTGGTTCTTATTGTTTTCTCCGTGTAATTAAGATAACGTTGTAATCTCTATTTTTCATAGTAAAATTCGTCTACACTTGTCCCGTGATTTTTACACCGTCTGCTTTGAGGGTTTTTCACGTAAAATACTATGTGTCCGTATTATTTTCACTTGGAAGGTGGATGAGAATGTGAAGTGATTTATATGTATAGGACTCAAGACCTAATAGGTTAATTTTTTAGGTCAAGTTGGGCTCCTAAAATGTATTGTGTTAATTTCGTACGTGGTGTCTCCCCAACAATTTGTCTAATGATCTTATGTTATCTTGTACTTTCCCCCTCACCCCTCTCTTTTCCTGGTGGTTGGTTGTTTTTCTTTTGGTTTGGTTTGGGCACTTGAGTTTGTTCCAATTGAAATCGGCTGTGAGCTCCAACCTTAATAATTCTCTTGGGTACTTATGCTGGAAACATCCTTATTTGTTCCACGTTCTTCATCAATCGTTTAGGAGCTATCTAGTTTTTACTGTTCAAAATTGTAAATATGCTCATGAACCGCAACTCAGGCTACTAGGACGTAAAAATCTTATTCTATCAAGTATTAGTTGCCAGTTAATCAGATTGCATTTAGTTCGTTATGCAAATGGCTGGTTTCTCATCTTGTGCAGGTTCCGCGTTATTGCGTATTTGCAGCAAATCTGGTGGTTCGAAGTAGATGGGGTGGTGAAGTTCCCTTTTCCTGCTG